GTCAATTAATTAATTAATTAATTAATTAATTAGTTGCAGGTCTATAAAGAACAGTTTAATTCACCTAACCTCAACCAGCAACATCAGTAAAATACTTCTGGTTATTGGTTATTACTTGTGCCTAACAAAACAACGCACCAGTAATAATAATAATCCTAATTTATTGTTATATATTAGTGTACAACACACAACAACAGGGGCCATATTTCTGCACTGAGTACATTTACTTTTGATACTTAAAGGATATTTTCTTGGTTATACTGACACTGTTTTATGTAGGTAACATTTTCAATGCAGGACTTTAACTTCTAACAGAGTATTTTTACATAATGATTTTACTGTAAAGGATCTGAATACTTCTTCCACCACTGAATATATTGGATTTCTTTTCTGTTGTTTGAATTATTTATCCAGCCTATCAAGAAAAAGACATTTGGAGACATTTCAAAGAAAACAGTAGGATGCCTGTGTACAGTAGCAGAGATGGTACAGCATGAATTTATGGAAAGGAAATTGCATAACTTCACAGGTTTAGTGCAGTTTTTTGCTTTGAAACAAAAATATATTCTAATAATCCAAGACAGATTTCTTTTAAAAATTCTCCCATTAGATTTTTTATTTGTCCATTTGCAAGGGGCAACACACATTAATAAGCACTGACATCAAAACCATCACTGAACAGTGTCAGTCAGTGTTTCTAAACAGTTGATTTTCACCTGTAGTTACTGCACTGTTTCTCTAAATACAGTTTTGATGCAACTCAAAAAGCCACGAAAAGAACAAACTGCGACGACCCTGAGCCGAGTTTTGTACGGTTTAGTGGCTTTCACACACAACCCTTTTGCCAAGGTGCAACCTGTGTGTACGTTGCTGTATAAATTATGCTAATGCCACTAACATGATCACTTCTTTTGTGGGTAATTTTCTGATGAGAAACATGCCTCTGCACCGTTCACCACAATTAATGTGGCAGGGCGTCAAACCGTCTGCACACATTTGTCAGGGATTCTCCTGTTTAATTTCTCACTCTGCACCAAGACACGTCCATGTAATTATGTGTCAACGAGCAATTAAAGCATCAATTAAAGTTTGTTAGACAGAGAGCATATCATGGAGAACAGTGATTAGGCACAACAGTCGCATAAATGTTTGTGTAGCTTGATGAGATTGTCAATAAGATGATTATCTGTCTATCTCTCTATCTCTCTATCTATCTATCTATCTCTCTAACTATCTATCTATCTATCTATCTCTCTCTCTATCTCTCTAACTATCTATCTATCATCTATCTCTCTCTCTCTATCTATCTATCTATCTATCTATGATCCTTTTTCCATATTTTACCATCTCTGTCTTTTCTAATCATCCCTCTAAGTGCCTCTGTGAATCCCTCCAAACTCCAGTTTCAATCAATCTGTCTTCTACCATTCCTTGATCCACCTCCATATGCTTCCTTCATCCCAGCACTCTCCCTCCTTCCTTCCCTCCTCCCCTCTCGTCCCTCTCCCTTTGTGTGCTCTTTGGTGTGCTGGTGGATGACAACTTCATCTCCATCATTCAGTTTCTCTCTCCTGCTCTTCATCCCCCTCTCCTTCTGCTGGAGTGGTGCTACAAGTCAATCCAATATCCACCAGTCTCAGCCTCCTAATACGCACACTCTTCTTCTTCTGTTTTTTTTTTCTCCCCTGCACCTCTGTGTGTCTTGTCATCACTTCATATATCCACCTTTATCTTTCCTTCCATCATCACATCTCATCTGTGCTGCTGCAGTTAAAGCAACATTACAGCCTGATAAAGACATGGAGGTATGATCTCACAGCTGGACTGTGCACTATCCAACAGCAAACCTGCTAAAATTTGAATTTCAGTGAACAGTTTTTGGTGAAACTTTCTTTCAATTAGATTTTCACATTCCCACAGTGCAACATAATTTACCCAGAAGACAAATAACAATGCAGAAGAATTAATGAAACCGTGCTGTGGTGTGTTGTGTATAGTTATAGATCCTCCAACAGACTCTTTACTTAGATCAGACCTTTCATTAGTTTTCTGTAAATTTACTTTACTCTTTCAAATAAACACTCCAAGATTGCAAGTTTCCAAATATAATAAATAAACTACAATAAAATATAATAAAGTAAAATAAAATAAAATAAAATAAAATAAAGTGATCCATGCATCAGGTATTTTCCCAGAACGAACTATAAATGTCACATAAACGTAATTTGCCCTGTTGCTCTTACGGCTCAGCCAAATTTTGCTAATTGTGGGAACAATTTAGCATTTTGAATAGAAGGGCACATCCAGTGCAATTGGCAATTACTGTAATGCTCAGCCAAATTATTTAATGGCAGTTTTTTTTCCTTTATTTTTTAAAAATTGTTATTTTTGATTTGTTTTTTTTTTAACCATCTCAGGCATTTTGTACTTCCATATATATGCTTCCTATATCCACTTATTAGCTTCAAATGTGGATATATTGCACCTTCTCTTATTCATGATGACCAGGGCTGTTTGCGAATAAAGACACAGTGATTTTAATAATTCTGTTTAAGATTCATCATGAATTAAATACATGTAGAATTAAGACTCTCCTGGGAAAATGCATTTATTAGATTTCAGTGTAGCATAAAAATGAAAGTGTTATCCAATTTATCAGTGACATTTGTGAAGTTTTTGGTGAAACTGACATTAAATATGGGTTCACAACAGTTTTATAAGCTATAAAGAACACATAGGTGAAATGCATCCACATTAGAAAAACATATAAGAACAAATCAAACCAGTAAACACAGTCCAGCTTCATTAGGCCAGATGTGCAGGAGAAAAGGCCAATTATCAAAGGCAGATTTCCAAATCATAATTCCACCTGTAATTTTATTATTTTGACATCATAATGTTACTGTGTGGTGTTTTTAGGATTATTTTCGGACATTAACCAGTACATAGAATTCAAAAAGTTTCTTGTTTTAAGCAGGAAAACCCACATGAATAACATCTTTGAAATGTGATGCCAACTTTTCTTGTCCCTCTTCACACACACAGAGACACTGCCTCCTAAATATTCCCAAAGACTTGATATTTCATGTTTCCCCTCCTGATCTAACAGCTCCATGTTTTAAACACTAAACACTTTGTCTTGACAGTATTGACAAACATGTAAATATAAATGAGCTCATTTAATGTCTTTTTTTAATGGGTGACACATGGTAACACGGCACCCAGGGGCGATTCTAGGATCAGAGGTTTAGGGGTGCTGAGCACCCAGAGAGCTGCCAGGCCAGGCAAGATAAATTTCACAGTTTTGTAGATTTTAAACCAGTTTCATTCCCACATTTGTGAAAGAAAAGCACAACACTTTTTGGGAAAGTCTGTGACTAAACCATCAAATCTGATAAAGGTTATTTAAATGCTGAGCCACAGCAAAAGAGGAATGGATTGGAATCATAAAAGAAACATATCGTAACCCTAATTTCTGGGGGAGGATAACTCATTTTGATACAGCAGCTCCTCAACATACACATAAACAGTATGTATGTTTCTGGAGTAAACCAGCCCCCTATAGTGAGTACCAAAAATACCAAAAATGGACCTTGGACTTATTTTTTGGACTTTTATTTGAAATGCAATGCACAACATGTAACATTAACACATTAACAGTAATTGCCTTTTTCAATGTTTGTCTCTGCCTTTTTCCTTCTTGTCTGTAATATATAATACAAATACATAAATAAAAATACACTTCAAAAAAGAAAAGTGCTTGAAATCTACAAAATAATAATAATAAATACACACAATAAGAATTATAATGTTAATGGGCATCCAGTCAGTTAGCTAGTCAGTAGCACCTTGGCTTTAATATTTACACATGCACATAACACAACAGCTAGCTTCTGTCATTCCAGTTCAAACATAGAGGACAGTGGTACTGACCACCTGTAACGTTTCGTAGCTAGAAAAACGTCAGCTAACTCCTACCTAACAACATAAACAGTGACCTACGATTAAATGCAGCAAAAATGAGGACTGGTAATGATAATAATGTGTTGGTATTGAGTGGTAGAAGTTAAGAAATGTGCCACATATCCTGGTTTAAGCCAGGTACTTACACCACCACTGCATATCACCCACTCTGGAAGGCAGCGCATTGCTCTGTGCAGATAGAGCGCTCAGAGCCCGAGTCGGGGAAAGGTGGGAGGGATGGGGTGGATCAAATTTTTGTTGTTGAAATATTACATTGCAACCAAGTACTGTATGGTTTTGACACTTTTCTAGCTTGTTAAAAAGGGACATACAGTAAAAAATAAAATAAAATAAAATATAAAAAATCTCTCAAATTTTAGGGGTGCTGGGATTCAATTTCGGGGTGCTTCAGCACCCCCAAAAATGGGCTACAAACGCCTATGACAGCACCTAAAAATGTCCCGTGTGTCAAGTGTCTGATGGCTGATGTCTAATGTTCCCTCTCTGTGGGTGTGTGAAATTCACACATGTGAACACACCTCCTGCCCGTCGAGAAGGGAGCCATCTGACCTTTAGCTTGTGGCGAATTTAATGAAGAGACTGTCATTCGCCGTCTCTGTGACTGCATGCTTGTCTCACACATGCAGTTGTTGAAAAGTGCACAACCTTGATACCCTCCTTTTTGTCCGGTCTTATCATCGCTGTCAGGATTAATGAGCCAGTTGCTTGGACAATCAGTCTGCCAGTCAAACCAGTCTGCCTGACTGGTCCGTGGTGGCCTGATGGATATGATGCTGAATGGGAAACAGAAGACACCAGTGACATCCAGTGGCCAAGCATTACTCTGCTCTTACTTGTTGATGTAATAGCCTACTCTGTACCACAGGCACACTTTTGTCCTGTCTAACAAAGATACTGCTTTTCTTTCTTTTTACCTGGAAAATGATTCTGATGCAGCTTTTTTACTATATGATTTAAAAACTTTGCATTATGGCCTTTCTCTATGACCTACTTTAGAGGAGGTGACAGCTGCAGGCAGATGGGAAACAAACAAGTACTTCCATCCATCATATACATACAAAAGACAAACAACACAACACAGACAAACAACCAAATTGACGGTTCAGCATCAAATGTTCATGTCTAGGAGATTTGCTAATGGTAAAGAAAAGGCCTAATTATAAAAAATATTCTGCAGTGTAAAAATACTCTGTTAACAGTGACAGTCAAGCAGGTAAAAGTACAAAGTTACTGGCATCAACATATACTTACAGTACCAAAAGTAACAAGACTCGTTATGCAGAGTATTTCAGAATAATGTCTATTTTATGACTGGATTATAATTACTGTCACATTAATGTGTTCATCACTTTAATGTTGCCGCTCATAAAGGTGGGGGTAATTTTAATTATTTTATACACTGCTGGGTAGTTTGGGAATTTCCCCTGGAGATCAATAAAGTTTTATCTTTGAAACCTGAGTAGACTGATTTCTTTTAAAAACATGGGAAGAAGGCAACGAGCAACAAAAGAAGAAATGACTCCAAAAATCTGCAAGAAATTAGTAAATTAAAAATTAGAAAATTAAAAACAATTAAATTTGTTAAAAAAGAAAGAAAGTTAAAAACAAACAAACAGAAAATGACCTGGGAAGAGTGCTTAAAAATTATAATAATGCTATAATAATATTAATAGTAATATTAATAATAGTTTTTTCCCTAGCTTTTCCCCCTAGTTTTCTAAAAATACATTTCTAATTCTACTTATATATATATATATTTTTTTAAGAAACCGCACCATTTTGCTCAGGGTTCAAAGGTTTAAATACTTGTGAAAGGTGTCTAAAAGCAACACAGGAAAACTGATGTCGATCCAGGTTTCAGTGGGTTTATATATATAATCATGGGCGTAGATTCTGTGGGGACGCAGGGGGTATGTCCCCCTAGAGATACAGACCCCAAACTGTCACCCCAATAAAAACAAAGTATATCAGAAGACTTTTTTTGACAAATTGCTAGCAGTATGCAACCTCAAAAGCAGTGGCTGCAATCGGCCATAAACTGGAAAGAAGAGGCAACTCTGCACGGTTGAAGCAGGATGTACCGTGATGTTTCCGCCATATACTGGTGCAGAAAAAAAGCACAAATTGGGTGCATAAAAATTCACTAAAATGCAGAAAATCCACCCAAAAGATTTAAAAAACAAACAAACAAACAAAAGTATGGCTTGTCCACAATCATCCATCATCATTTTTTTTTGTTGATAGTATTTTGTATAATTAATATGAATCTGCAAGTGTCTGTCTAATTTATTTCATATTAATTCTTTTATTCTTTTTTGTCTTAATTTTGTTCATCTGTTGGATTTTTATCGCTTTAACACATCACTTGACTGATACTGTGCCTCTTTACATCCACTCATGATTTATTGATTCTGATTCATCTGTTGATGTGTCTGATCATAACGCTTATTGTGGTTCTTCCTGGTGATGTTTTAGTCTTTTGCTTTTTCTCATAAAGGTAAAGAATAATCAGAAATAACCCACACACACACACACACACACACACACACACACACACACACACACAATTGTTGATATTTTTTGTACAAAACCAATGCAACTTTATTGAAAATGTATTATAACAGCAGTAAACATTACAGATAGAAAAATAACTCGTCACAGTGCTCACCAACACGGAGGTGTGTGTTTTTGTTCACAGTGATTCAAAGCACCAGGCTGCAGTTGAAGTGTGTGGGGGGTGTGAGTGCACAGCAGCGTTGCAGGCTGCTCTGACTGAATCCTGCTCCGATCGTCACGTTCCACGGCTCATACACCGTCACACTGCGAATAAAACACACCCACACAATGAATCACAGTGTCTCTCCTTTTCTTCATCATCAGCTGTATTCATTCTGAAAAAAAGCTGTTTTTGATGTATTTATAACTGCACGGAGATATCAAAAAATATCTATGCAGCTGAAATACACAGCAAATATGTGGAAACAGTTATTACAAACACACACACACCTGTTATAGAGTTGTGTGCAGCAGGTGACTAGTTGTGAGCTGCTGGTCACGTTGGTGTTGATGAACTCTGTGCTCAGGAAATGTGGACACTGAAGATTAGGGATGTACAACGTACCTGGAGACCCACAGAGTGATGTCATAAAATCATAAAAACCTTTGAGAGACAGATTATCTATTGTGTGGAGCTGATATACAGACATTCAGGGACAAATCACACACTCTTTTCATCACCTGTGTTAATTTAACATGCTCTCACAATAACTGACAGAAAACTGAAACTGAAATCAGAATTAATATATAATGTAATTGTGTAATCTACTTGAAAATAATAAATGAATAATAATTTGCAGTAAAATAAACATAAATGACAACAATTCAGCGCAATCATTTTAAAATCTATAGAAATCATTGTATTGTGTGATACATGTATAGCCTACATGTATTGTATAACACACTGTAATAATAGAAAAAACATATTTATAGCCATGGCTATGTGTGGTCATTATATTTTGCATGCTGTGTTACTGAACCAGTGAGTCTAATGAATAATAAAGCTGGAATAACTCGTATGTAGCTCTTAAAAAAGAAATAAGTGAAAGGACAAAGTCACTATGAACATTTGTGAATAATAGACTTGAATAGTATTTGCTTACCAGCCCAGTACCTAGTGTGGCTATTAATATAACATGAATATTCATATAAATGTACTCTGGATATTATGATTAAAATCTTACTAGAGAATTCTGCTGTCTCTCAATTTTGTCAGAACACTAATGGTGTGTTCTCACCAAAAAGCCAGTCGATGAATGAGGCACTTAAAGTACTTAAAGGGACACAAAATGGTAAGTTATATGTACATAATTAAGAAGTATTTGTAATATATTTAATTTTATAATAGCTGGGGGGCTATTATTTGCTGAAATCACCAAAATCAACAGGTCAATATTTGGAACAGGCCTTCAATGCCTTTCACACAAAACTGTTGCTCAGCAAAGATGGGAAATAGAGTCAAATTATTTATTTAAACCAATGTGAATATTACTTGATGAGGCTTTGGATAACATATAAATTATTAATCATTCATTTGATCTAGCTCCAACAGACAGCGCATCACAGGGAAAGTAAGTTATGACACTAGAGGATTACGGCACCCAGCATACTGACGCAACACCACTTTATATTGTTAAAACAATACTCACAACTTGGATTAATATTTATGAAAAACTTATTTGATTCTTTTGATCTGAGGACCCTTACGAAATATAAATAACTTACAGGGTAATGGAGGAATGGACACATAATTTAAGGTAGCCAACAACCCAGTTTTATACATCTGAAGAACTTCTATTAAAAAAACTGAACTGCTTTACAACCAGACCAGGCCTCTAATTGAGACAAGCCTTTATTTGTCAAAATGTGTAGCCACAACGGACTAGTAAAAGGGACTAGGCTTTGAACTGAAGTTTTATGGTATATGATAAAGATACAGTACAATAAATGTTCACGTGAGGAATGAAGAGTAGCACTAAACAAGACAAAAACAATGCTATGAAATGGCAATAATGTCCATTGAGTTCATTATAAATACAATCAGTGGATAAATGACAGACAGAGGCAAAGAAGAGGTAACAGTCACCTGCAATACAAGCCGTCATGAAACAGGAGACGCTGCCTGCAATCAGAGATCTGAGGGCACAATCGGAAATGTCAGTCCGTCTGTCTGGAGCCAAGGACGCTGGAAAAAGAAAAAAAAAAATGCAACAGGTTTGTACAAAGGATTGATTCATTCAGTTTTCAATACAAAACAAATACAAGTAATATATAACCAGGATTTATATAAAAAGAAGAAACAAAAAAACTGAAACTCACTGTTGACTTTTACTGGGTTTCACAGAAAATTGGTAGAATTATGTGTTAAATGATAGTTGATTCCTCTTTGACTTTTGTACCAACAGGCTGCTTTTTGTTTGACATCTTCTAACGCTTGCAACCGTATACCAAGACTTAACTTAATACTTTGACTTTATGCACTGTGTCTTGTGCTACAAAGAGATTTTATTTTCAAAGTATATTAATCAAGGATGAACTTTTCACTTTACGTGTCAAGGGCATGAACACTCATAAATTTCAGTGTTCAAGTTGTAACTTCTAATCTGTAATATCTAAATCTAAATCCAAAATTTTGCCAAACTTGCTTATTTTTGTTTCTACCGTCTTTCATTTGTTGTTATTTTGCAATTCCTACTTGCAAATTTTGACCCCTGATTTCACATTTCTCTGGTTTTTGGGTGGAAACTTGTTTTAATTCTTAAATAATCCGGGAGGCTTTTGTTTTGAATACAAGGTCTGTTTCAGTGTCATCCTTCTTTTGACATTTGCAGAAGCACACACATTCACACTTGGCATCTGTAACTTTGTATTGACAGCTGTTAGGACTGCCTTCATTACATTTTGGAAATTTGTGAATTAGCGAGGGGGGGGGGGGGGTTTCCTTTTGTTTCCCAGCCATGGGCTAAATCAAACAGTCTTAACTTCTCATTCAGCCCACACACTGCAACTTGCTTAAATGTAACAGATGGATTCATCACCACTTACTCCCACTCGTGCCAGCCGAAAAACTCTTTATTTTCCATCCTGTACATTTCCACAGTGTGTGTGTGGCATAGATTGTATCTAGTGCTGTGTGCTTTGTATTAAGACTTTTTTAAAAAAAAAAAAAAACATCTGGGACAATTAGCCTCATGCTGAATTTAAATGAGAACATGTTTACTCAGTATACTTTTCAACACTTTTTTTGATTTTTGCAGCATATTACACCAGCCAATAACTTTCTGAACTTTAATTTTCCTGTTTGCCTGTTTGACATTGGTGCTCAGCTTTGCTCACAACCCATGAGGTGGCACTCACTCATCGCCCCGATCGCTATCCCCATCGAAGCAAAGTTGGAAAATCCACACAAAGCGTAGGTCGCAATGGTTTCAGAGTGGACCTGAAGGATAAAACAGAGTTTATCTAAATTATTATGTGACCAAAATATCCCAAAAGACTTTAATGCCTGTATCAAAATTATACTTATTGCTCAACCTGTTGTCACCCACAGGGCATCAAATACGGTAATTTGGTCAGTGGCCCTCAATGTCCGATACCATCACACACAACAAATTCTTTTAGCATCTGTATGAAACACACTGGGTTTTCAACTAACTCCAATGTAAACTCATCTGCAGCAATGATGCAGTGTAAAGAGCAAAAAGGTCTGTGTAGGGTGAGAGGATGTTGTCAAACAAACACAGGACTTTCACTCAGGAGACTGCAGATCATGTCCCACGTGAAACCAACTCAACTGTGAGTTTTTAAGTTCAAATAAACACAAGAAGTTTGTGCTCTAGAGAAAGGATCAACACTCAGTGAAAAACCTAAGCCCTATGATAAGCTATTATGGCAAGGCTTAACTATACAAACCAATGAGCAGTGATAACTAGCATGTCTTTGGGGTCATCGGGTGGGAACCTCCTTTCACCAGTGTTTCGTCTAGTTGGTCCCATGACACCTCCAGGAGGCTAGACAGTGATCTCTAGCGTCCCAGAGACACTCCCCTAATGCCAGGTCTCACTGCTCCCCTCCCTGCACCAACCCAATAACCTCCTTTACCTTACTTATGCATGGCTTTCTCAGCCCAAACAGCACTGCCACCTTCAACCAAACCCAGGCTTCGTACAGGCGAGCTCTAGGTAGAAGCAGGGCTGATACTACCTTTCCTAGCACATGTAACTTAGTTAACATCATATTTCAGTCATGTCAGATACCTGACATACAGAACAGCAAAAAAAGACACCCACATCCCAATATCCAATGGACTGGGTGCTGGATTTAAGCAACATCAGGAAAAGAAACACATACCTAGTAGCTCCTGTTGGAAGGATTTTAATGCTGTGTAACTTTTCGAGCCAACAGCTCTTCCTTAGACATGACATGGTCTACTTGACATACTTGTTATCTAAGGGTGTTTTCAGACCTAGAGTTTGTTTGCTATGGTCCATATCAGGGACTAATTTTGTTACAAAGTTGCATATCGCCAAGAGTTGGTTCGTGTTCTCACAGCAGTATTTGCAAGCGGGCCAGATAAAATGCCTTGTGTGAGAAAGCTGCTCTTGATTGGTTTTTGTCTGTTTTTGTTCAATTATCCTTCCTGTCTGCAGTCTTGCATTTTAAGGGATAGTGCACCCAAAAATGAAAATTCAGCCATTATCTACTCACCTATATGCCGAGGGAGGCTCAGCTGAAGTTTTAGAGTCCTCACATCCCTTGCGGAGATCCAAGGGGAGAGGAAGTAGCAACACAACTCTAACACCGGATTTCCACTGGATGCATGTCTGTTGCGGAATGGCAGCGCTGGTTATCTGCTGCGTGCTCCACCGTCCGTCAATACCCACTGGCTGCGTTTGCTGTGCGGAGCGGTGCAGCTACGCCGGAAGACAGCTCGGTACACTGGTGTCAACGGGGTGAAATGGCGTCTGAAAACCTCTGACCTGTTGACTTCAGGCCTGCCTCTGCCCATTATGTAGTTTTCGAGGTGTAGTGCAGGGAAATATGATCCGCCGTGAACACTGTGTATTTTATTTTGAAAATTAACCAGATGTTTTATTTTGTTTCTGTGCACGACTTCCTGCCCCGCACAATCTGCTCTGTGCTAAACTGCTGCGTTGTACTCCGGCATCCGGCAAAAATAGAAGTCCTGCGTATCTGTTGCAGAGGGCTTCGGAGTGCCAGAGCTGAGATGGAGCCAGAACGCAGCACAACCGCAGCCGGTGGAAACACACACATTGACTACAATTGAATCCTATCGGCTCCGCTGCCATGCCGGAGCGGAGACGCAACCAACACGCATCTGGTGGAAATAGGCCATAATCGAGGCTTACGGCACCCCAGATTCATACGTCCAAAAACACATAATTGAAACCACAAAATATCTCCATACTGCTCGTGGCTGAATTTTCATTTTTGGGTGCACTATCCCTTTAAGTCCTCTTTGAACTGAAACTTGATGGGAGGGATACTGAGAGCGTCATTGTTTGAAGTGTAGACCACTGACCAAGCTGCCATATTTGACAAGTTGCTGGTGAGAATGTGTTGCATCACCACTTATTTCCTTTGTCATATGCAGGTTGTGAAGATTCCAAAAACCTTGCCTTAATACGTTCTTAACTAAACACTGTTTGTCTACCATCATTTAGACATCCATTAGAGAAATAAAATTATCTAATGAGGCCATAACACTTTTATTGACATAAAGCCCCTCCACACCGACTAGTCAGCCACTCATCTATGTTGAAACTGGAAAAAATAACTGGAAAGAATGATGAGTGAGACTCACAGAAATATACTGCTTTACGTTGCCCACATATTCTGGTCCTCCTGATTTCCGCCTCTTAATTAACTCTGACAACTTCTTATAGGCAATAAACTCATTGATAAATGTCTTGATGCCAATCAGTTCAGCAACAATGAAACTGTCCTCCCAGGAAACACCCATCATGAACGAGAGAGGCATGAACACGTATGAGCAGATGAGCTAAACAGGACAGAAAGAGCAAAGAGTGAGTGCATATATGCAGGTTAATATTTGAATATATTAAGAATATAAATATAAAATTACAGTATATGTTGGAGAGTTGGTGTGTAAGTGTTTGAGTGTCAAGTCGGGGCCGTTACCGAGAAGCTGAGCTGTGGACAGTCCAACATCCCGCCCAGCCAGGCGAGGACAGCATTTAAAAAGGCTAACAGTGCCATGAAGGCAATGAGGTTGGTAACAATGTTGGCCACTAAACCCACTGCAGAAGATGCACCTTGGGATGCTGCCTCAAACACGTTCTTACTGTCTCTGAGGAGACACAGGCAACATTTGAATGGTTATACAACACTTTATGTTTGAACAGTATTGTATCAAAATAGCACAGTGTCATCAGCATACTGGTGTTGCTGACATTTACTGCGTCAATACTGTGGTTGGTGCTGTAGATCATCTAAGGCTCAGGTTAGGTGAATGTAGATAACAAAGCACAAATCAGTTTAAACAGACAATATTTGGTCCCTATTCAGATCTCTGTCAGGTTGATTGTTTACATCCAACACTTTGACTGATTTAAGTTTTATCTGTTTAATCTGTTGTTTCGAGTCGGTCTGCAGGTGTTACCTTTTTCATTAATCAAACTGGCTTGAACTGAATATATTTCAATTAGAACATTAAAAAATAACTAAATAAACTACTATCTATAATACATGTATAAATAACGGTGAAAATGTACAACAGATTTTTTTTTAAATATGCAACATAAATTAACATTTCATGTATGACAAAAGAAGGAAGGTGAGGCATACTTGTCTAGTCCTACCCCTATTCTGTTCTAATCCAACCAACTCTCCACACAGCGTCCATACCCACAACTAATGGTGTTTTTCAATGTCTATGTAATATAAGTACAATTCTAATAGAATAGAGATGCTTGAATGAAAACCATTTTTTGAAACAGTCTGTAGTGTATTGTATTATAATGATGCCACTGTCCTCTCCTACCCATGGTCCAGCTGGAGGTCATCACTGGTTGATACACTGGGCGTCTCTGTTTCAGGCCAGAACATCTTGGCGATGGCCAGGGAGGCTGGAGCAGACATCAGTGTTGCTGTCAACAAGTGTGTTGCCTCAATCTCAAGAGAGAGGCACATTAAACAAGACATACATTTAATGGTCAATCATTCACTTCCCGACAGAGCTGTCATAAATTCCTATGTACACTCTCAGGCAAGATCAGGTTCAGGGTCAGTCAAGAGTCCTTAGATAAGGACTTAAAAAGACTTCCAGGCTATATTTTAAACAGTGTTCCTAATGTCTGATATCCCTATGACTTTGTTAAGTTAAAGGAATACTTCCCCTCCAAATGACTAGTCAGTGACTCACCCTATGCTTCGCTGAATTTGTGAAGAAAACTTTGATCATCTTGCATGCCTCCAGTGGACAAAGACTAATTTTTTGATGAATGGGAGTAAAAGGAACTGCATATAACAGCAAAACTAAATCAAGACATCCATTGCAAACTCTCACTCAACCCGTACAGTAAAATCCAAGTCTCATTTATCCACTTACATGCTTAGTACTCCCCAAACACATACAATTTTGCTAAAACCAGATTACTGAAAGTGAAAACAGATGTTTTGATATAGTTTTGTTGTTGTTAAACATGACCTTAATTCATCAAGAATATCTACTGCTTTTGGATTTTTCATTCACCGTGGAGGCATGCATTAAAAACAAAATTCTCTTCAAGAATTCAGTGTAACACAGGGTGAGTAATAGATACACAACTGATCATTAAGGGGGTTAAGTATTCGTTTAACAGTTGGTTTAAGAACTCATACTTTACAGGTTAATTACTGGCATTCCCAATCTGGCACTGAAATAAATTATAATAAAAGGAATGTTGATAACCCTTAAGACATATTTAATCATTCATGTCCTGTTTCATGCTTACTGACAACCATTGTTTTTTTCAAATAACTCAATTGTTGATGAGATCAAGCCACAAACTGTACTTTCATAGTTTCCTTAAAGTTAATTTTTTAAAATACAGCCTTAATTGTGAAAACCTCCTCCCACCCCTGCATCCATCGCCTTACCCCAAAGGAGATATAGGCTCCCAAAATGGTACCAGAGACGCCGGCCATGCCTCCTGCCATCACAGCATGCATCTCAGAGCAAGTTAGTCCACTGATGTACGGACGGATCAAGAGAGGTGAGTCTGTCTGAAGGAGGGAGGACAAAGGCTGGGTGGATTTGGGACTAGTGGATTTATGGATTCATGTAATTATATCAGTGATTTGCTTGATGTGTTTGTTTACTGTTTAAACTGTTGTTTACCTGTCCCAAGAATATATTTCCAGCTGCGGCCATTGATTCTGGTGCAGATGTTGCCATGGTAACCTGCATTACGAATCCAATCTTTGAAAATATAAAATGAAAAAAATCACAGAAAATCAAAAGGAAATAACTGAGCTGTAGAAAATTATAATATAAAATATACAAATTGGAAACTAAATATCCTGGATGTCATTGTGTCATTGGGCTCATTTCCAGTTACTCTGAGCAGTTATCATTTCCCTTTTATCCCTTACACTGTATTTCTTATATGACAGGTGCTTTAAAAATAAATGGCTTAGAAAAATACATTTGCCATCAAATATTTCTCTCTGTCCGTGCACTTTATCCTCCCACTTCCTCACCTTGCAAATGAGCCAGGGCATGAAGCCAACGTAGTAGAGGATGGAGACGACGGAGCTTATAAAAACCAGTATAGGCATCACCTAGAGAGAGTCCACAATCATCATCATCATCTTTCGTATATATATTGTTGACATGCACACCAGAACCTTTAAGTCTCATCTTGACTTTGATCATATTCAGAAAATGCAACACATTCTCACTCCGACCTCGTCACTTATCAACGTTTGGTCATGGACTTTCTACATCGAGATACGACGTGCAAGGTACCTTGGGTGGTTGTTGACGTTCTGGGACAGCGTGTCAAGTTCTGCCTGTCACATGCATTGTCTTCTTTCAAAACAAACTTCTGTTTTCACAGGAAATTTACTGTTTACATACAGTCTCTTTCAAAATAAACGCACTACGTCGGTACAACACCGCCAACTGATGTTTTTTTCCCCCATAAACAACAAATGCACTTGGTTGGGTTCAGGAAAAAAGGACAAGGTTTGGCTTTATAATTTTACGGGACGCAAACACCGCTCTCCCGGGTGAAAGTCGGCATTTGCTGAACCCATCCACCACCCTTCCTGCTTGCTCCACTCTGCCTTTCGCTGCCTTAACTTTAGTTCTTCTCCTGCCATGTTTCCCCAAGTGCTGTTAAGCTATAACGGCAACCTGTCCCATATTATGCAGATGTTAAAAGATGCCTTTTTCGTCGGGTGTCTGACACCGGAAGTCATAGCCCAAGCGCAGGATTTCGACGACTTCGGAGTGAGACAGGGTAGGAAAATGACATTTACATGGAAAATGAGGTACCTTGTTATTCATATTCCTATTTGAACAATACAAACAATATCCAGATGTTTCGTTTTACGACTAACTACTACTTTTGCTTGAGCTAATGAAGCACACGCACGCATCTATAGGTTTCTGAAACCAGAATATGATGTTACATGCCCAAACACAAACTGTATATCCCAGACACCCTGCCATGAGGTCTATGTACACACACTGTCTCATTCATGTGCACGTCCGTGTCTGTGTGCATCATATTGATGTGTGTCATACCTGGAAGACGAAGAGGTGGTCTCTGTAATTTGGACCAAACACAAACTTAGACCCAACATCTGTGAACGACATAAAAGTCTACATGGAGGAGATTTTGGAATTGTTAGCAAAAGACACAGAAAAATGTAAAATGATTGATTGTACATTTTGTGATGTTTCAAAGCTACAGTGAGTAAAATCCCCAAATTTATCATAAACAAAACGAGACTCGGATGCTGACAGAGTAGGAAAAAACAAAAGAGGGACACAATCAAACAAAACAAGGAAACCAGGAAACAATAGAAAGGAATCAAAGAAATGAGAAAAAGGAGACAATGAAAAGAACAAAGAAATGAAAAAGGAAACTAAGAAACAAAAGGACAATCAACTAAATCTGTGTGTGTGTGTGTGTGTGTGTGTGTGTGTGTGTGTGTGTGTGTACCTCGACTTGTTTTCCAAGCCATTGCAGTCCATTTAAGCCAAGCTTTGTCCTTAGGATCAGCAGACCAAAGACAAACTGTAGCCCGACCCCACAGATTAAAGTTTGCCAACACCACTGCAAGACACATGCACAATACATATACATCCATACATGATCAAAACATTTGTGTGGTTGTGTGGTTGTGTGTGTGTGTGTGTGTGTGTGTGTGTGTGTGTGACTTACCCTGAATGGGTGTTTGGAGAACAGCAGCATTAAGAAGATGAGGAGCAGCAAACCAAAGAAAGACACAAGCTGTCTGGTCCCTTGCTGGGCCGTGTCCAGTGCCAGCCAGCACACCACGAACACCAGCAGTAACACACACAAGACCCTGGAGAGACAGAGAGTGATGTACAAAGGAGGAAGTGGAGGAAGCCAGGGAGATAAACAGAAACACACAGTCTGTACATCTGTAATATGTAATATACTGGCAAGAAGAAGGCAAGTGTGTTGTAAAGAAGTTACAGGATGACAGAACGAGGACTGCTTCTCTTCCATTGGAAAACTTTGTCATATACTCCTGTCACCTGTTTGCGGCTCAGTCAATGTGGCGCATCATCTGCCACGCAGAAGATTTTAGGTCATTATAGCCAGAAAAGCATGCTGCCTTGCGTACTGCAAAATTGAACAGAATGTTGTAGAACATCCTGGCATTCTTGGCACATTGCATTTGACTTACTATGCAGTGGGACATACTAATGCTGTGTCTCAGATCGCGTACTTCTGTACTTAGACTTAATATTTTGAGTGCATAAGTGCGTTCACACTGAGAAGTATGGAAAAATGCAGTGCACTATGAGTACCCAGATGGTGCACTCAAAACGGTCAAGAAGCTGAGTGTGGAACTATGGACAAATCTAGCCATCAATGGTTGCCATCTTGGCTACGTAGCGGAAGGGGAGGGACCACTTTTCAAACTGGAAATGTACGCTGTACAAATACACGTGTTTTCTGCACTAAGCACAAGTATACTGCTGTCGGTATAAGCCAGCAGTATGTTTGTTGGGTTAATTTAGCAGTCTGTAATGACTGGGGACCACGAATGATAACGCGAATGCTAATGCTAGTTTGCGGTCATCATTTCTGGTGAGTGCACAATGGCACTATTGATTTAATACAACACTACCCTGTCGAAATTTGCACACTACACCAATGAGTACATAGTGCACATAATATACTTCATAGAAGTGTACTGATGGAAGTTCACGATTTGAGACAAATCTTTGGATATTGGAACGCATATTATGTTTTTTTTCACCAGGGCAAGAGAGGCTGTAGACACCATTGTTCTTTGCTTGCTGAAATGGTAAAATACACTGATCAAAATGTAACAAATGCCAGGACAATGAACTTATTTTCCCTGCCTCAGATTCATTCTTTAGGTGCCTCGGTGCCAATTTTTATAAATAGTTTCTTTCTGTTTGGGGACAAATTGCCAGAATGAAAGTACATAAAATAAGCATATAAAATGTAATCTAACAACAGCAGCAGATCAAGCCACATGTAAAATGTGGAAGGTTAAGGCCCAACAGATATGGCGCCAAATCAACTGCAAGTCAAGGTAAATTCAGATTCAGCCTTTAATGGCTACAAGAATAGGAGAGAGCACCATGTTGTTGTTTCAGGCACACTGTAATGATGGCCTGAAGGAAGGAGATCAAACTCCTTAAGCTGGGTGAAAGTTGAGAATTTTTAACCCTATTAGTTACATGTGTGTCTTTAACCTAATGCTATATTCCTGTTATATTGTTATACCATTTGTTACAGTCTGTATTGTGCCTCTGCTTCACCTTTCCAGTGAGGTAAGTGCCCTTGAGCTAGAGCAATTACCTTACTTTATGTGCACTGTGGCACACAGCAGTTCTCACACTCTGCCATCAACTGCTCGTTTCCTTTATCCTGTTCTGTTTGAATTCAGTGCTCATGCTGATTTAACGAACAATGAATTTCCTCAGTCTGAGGACATTGTCGTTGCCAGGAGACAACATGTCTGAACTGTCTTGCACATTACATACATCAGTTACAGCTGCTGAGAGAGATTTTTTAGTGTACTGACTCTACAGTTTTTCCCAGTGTCATTACGGTGAGAGCACCAGTGAGTCTCCCTCTGTGCTCTGATGAGGAAGGTGTGCACCAGGCGAACTGAAACAAAACATTTCTCACCATTTGATCCAAAACCAGTTTTTGCCGAGAAGGTCTCTGATAGGAGAGAGCTCCTCCCACACCCGGTCGCCATAGCGGCCCATCATCCAATCCCAGACCAGGAAGAATACGGTTACCAAGGAGATGACCAGCAGCACAACAGCCCGGTTGAAGTTCAGGACACATGCCGCTATCACTATGGCAATGAGGCCTGAAACAAATTTAGTAATAATATGATTATATCCAACAAAGCTGACATTATTTTCTCTCATCAGAACAATTCACATATCTTCCTTTTATTTCCTGCTTTACTTTCTCTGGTTAAAAACACAGCAGGAGGACTGAGAGTACAGAGATGAAAACTGAACACATCCTCAAACAGCAAATCTGACTTATGGGTGACTCTGATGATGATGGCACTTAAAAAAATGCTACATGTAAAACAAATACAACAAGGTCTGATTTTTACCATAAAGTCTAAAGTGTTGTGAAATCTTAAAGAAGCATTTCACATTTCAAACCCCCACATTTAAGTTCTTTTATCTTTGTTTTCTTGCCTAAGTCTTCAAATGACACAGTGTGTGCTCATCTGTAAACATCAAGCCCTCTGACTTACAAATATGGAACTGAACTGAATTTAATTAAGATATGAATGCAACTGTTCTGCCGCATTTTAACTGCATTTTCATCCGTTAGTGAAGAGCATATTATATCAGCCCGAAAATGGTGCTATTTCTTATTTAGTTTTTATAGGACTGAAAAAAACAGAGTTAGTAGTTCAAAATGAGGATATCAAAAACAATTCAATATCTCGAGGTGCAAACTTTTGTTGAAGGGTTAATTTCTTGAGCAAAATCAACTTTGACTCATCACAAATACTGGAAATTAACAAAGTTTCTTTGTATATATGCAGGTTCAGAAGATAAAGTTTGAGCTTTAATTGGATGTTTAATGACCCAGAGTGTAGGATTTAAAAGCATCCACTGGCAGAAATGGTACATAATATTCATAACCTTGTTTTCATTAGTGTATGATCAGCTGAAAATATGAAAATCACCTCAGAATAAGCCGTTTATATCTACATATAGAGACAAATCACAAGCTGGCTCTACATAAGGTCATTTGCATTTTTATGTTGGCTACAGTCCTAACAAATTAGGTCATATGTATCTGTACAATATTTGTAAAGAGGACAGACGGGTTTTTATGACACAGACTTGAGAGCAACATAACATGTTGTATATGTCGCAGCCTGCAGTATGTTATTTTTGGATCAATACAGTAACACAGTACCACTAATTGCTCTTTTTAAATTGCTATAGGAGCCAACAAAGCCAGCATTGGCACTGTGTGTGTTGCTGTGTGTGTGTGTGTGTGTGTGTGTGTGTGTGTGTGTGTACATACTCTTGTATCTGTGTAGTCTGGACAGCAACACATTGAACATTCAAATACTCGACATGTGCTCTGATAAGCAATGGCTTGATTTTTCCATTAAAAATCATGGCAATTAGAAAAAAACTCTCTGTTTTTCCTTTGTCAGTTACACACACACACACACACACACACACACACACACACACACAGACTTTGCTCTGAGGCATAGAGCATGTAGGTCTAACCAGCGCAGCCAGTTCTCAAGGATAAATTAAACAGCCCTCTACAAGCGCTCACGCAGACTCAAAGTTCTAAAGCAAGACCAGAAATTGATTTTTCAGTATACTAAGATTTAATCCTATGTGGCTGCATAATCACAAGTAGCAAACAAAGAAAATCAATTGTTCAGAGCAGTGGACACACTTTGTCTCTGATAAAATCTTAACATTAACGAGAGACTCCTTCATGCTGCAAATTTAAGCTGAAAGACTTTGATACTCAGGCTACACATGTGGAGGTCCCCAGACAGAGACCTGCTATCCATTCAGGGTCCCCAGTTGCACTTTAACAGATGCTAACAAAGATACTTTACCTGCTCCTAAAACCAGGCGTTTAATCAGGCGGATCTGGTCTTTGTGCTTTGCCAAACAGCCCTGGAATGCCTCCATTTTCTTCTCAAGCAAGCTGGGCACACAGAAAGGAGAATGATAAGGGGCAAGATAAGGAGAGAGGACATGATTTGTGACAACAAAGGACGGGAGAAAGGCTGGTGATTTAGAGGAAACTGAGAAAATGTGACAAGAAGAATGGGTCTCATGTCGGAAGTGATATACAAACAAAGTTTCACTTATTCTTTTTGTATCCACAGGTTGTTCTTATTTTGTTAGTAGCCATTGATTTCTGGGATGTTTTTGCTCTTCTCTTAGGTAAGAGAAAATTCAATGAGTGGTAGAGAGCACTTTTACCAAGATAAGACAAAAACATCCTGTTTTTACAGTCCATAAATGTCCCTCTGATGCAAGGAAACACAAGTTTTAAACTTGAGGAACATAAAAAATGCACCATATAATCAAATGGAGATTATTCTATTTTCGGAAGCATGATTGGATCATTAAATTTGTCCATTGACCCCAGTTAAGACATTAAAAAAAAGTACGGCAATGCAGTGTTTTGGCCTCCATTTTTTTTTATGTCAAACCATTTTCTATAAACTTCAGTCACTGTGCGTCCCTCCGAAAGTTTCGCATTGCTGGGTTTTTGATTTTTCTGTAACACCACCACTGACACTCAAATCATGTTTACTTTGTTTAGGTCTATTTAACAGTGTGTCAATTCCACGACCGCAGAAGTTCTTCTTCTTACAGCCTTTGTACTTGGTGGCTTCTCTCCAATTGACCTATGGCTAAGTCCCGCCCTCAAACATGATGAGCCAATCACAGTGCGTATAGCCATTCCCATGCACTCGGGACATTCTCTGCCTGGACGTTTATTGAAATGCATTACAGAAAGTCAGTTTTGTTCAGTTTTATGAGCTTTTTCGGAGATTTCAAGTTTAAAAGTGGTCAAACGGTGTGCATGGGGTACATGCAACTCCAACACAAGGTATCCTAAGAGGCTGGGCGACGAGGTGTATTTTTTACCCTTTCCTAAACCACATCTCAACCGAGAAAAGTGTCTCCTTTGGATAAAGTTGTGTGGTAACGTGAATAAGATTAACAATGATGTCTACATCTGTTTTAAGGTAAGACAACATTGTGTTTGAGGCAACATATTGTCACTTTGCTGGAAAGAAATTTAAAGTTATCTTTAACATCTCTAGCTAACGTTAGCTAAAGTTAGCCTAACGTTAGCTCCTAGCTGCGTTGTTCATCATGTCAGCTTGTTTGCTGGGAGATCATTAGCCTGTTTTGTTCAAGTTTTGTACTTTGGTGATTGTACATCATTGTTAGCTGTTGTCCAAAGGGCTCTAGTTAAGCTAATGTGTGGGGAGTTAAGCTACAGCTTATCTGTAATTGCAGAGATAACAGAGGTTAGCAAACGTTATGCTGAATGATTAAGTGTAAATACTGTAACACCAAACTAACGGAGAGACACTCTTGGTAAAGATGGTAAAAAGGCCGTTTTCCTTTTCTCATATTCTGAGCCAAAAACCTTAACTTCAGTGGCACTTTAACTTTGATGGCGACGGCAACGAGATGCGGTTCACAAGTGTACACTGTGACCTGTAAATTTTGGCTTGTAATTTAAGCTTTTCATCGACCTTCTCAACAATAAAATGATGAATATATCCATCCAATGCATAGTTTAGGCCCTTTTGGTTACTTATCAATGACATTTGATCATTATGTCCCCAAAAATCAATTGCCTCTTGCGAAATGCTGTGTACTGTGACACCTGCCATAGCGCCCAGTCACTGAATGTTGATAGTTTGTCTGAGTTAGTGCAGGGGGGCGTGGCTTAGCCATAGGTCAATTCTTAGGCATGTGCCAGAGTATTTGCACACGGCACAACACCTGTCCTTATACAGAATTCAGGGTGCGTTACCTGTACTAATAAGGGATCAAGTGGGATTCATCACTGAGCACACCGTAAGAGCAGATTTGGATGGTTTGGTGCATCTGGAGTTGACCTCTCTTATTTTTTCTCTGAACAGAAAATTAAGAGAAAATTCAAGAATTTAAAAAGAAAACAAAAACACCACCTTTTGTTATGTTGTTCTGGCTTGTCGCGTGCATCATCCGCAGCTTCGGGAGAACTGTCCACTTCAATGTATATCTGACCCTGCTCCTGCCACACACACACACACACACACACACACACACACAGCTTGAGGATAAAGAATATTCTAAATATGCTTACCTGTGGTTGTTTGTACAGTGACACATATTGACTCAGAACTTAAAGGCAAACCGGTTGAAGGAGAACCTCTTCTCCTGTGCACACTGTGCTCATGTGTTTCTGATAAAAGGTCTGAAACTACTTATCCCAGTCACTTGAATCCCTTGGTACAAAGTTAGCAGCCTGACATTTGCGCGATTAGCTGGGCGAATGGTTTGATTCTGTAAAAACTGAGATAGAGAGATGTTGTTTAAAGCAATGGCTTTTTCCATAGTTACCTATAGTGCATGGTTACAACTGCCTTCAGGGGTTCTCTAATGTTTCCATTTAAACAGTATTGTTCATGAATAGCTCAATAAACCAGTCTAGCTTACCTCTGGTTCAAAGGCTGTGTTGTCTTCACCCCTTTTCCGACTCTTCTTTGCTATTCCATTCAGCTCCATTCTCTTCCTGTTCACGTATTTTCAAACACTGGCCAGACTCTAAGCATACCTGTCTAGTCCTTTTCCCCTCCCATCCTCCCTCCTCCTGCGACTCTCTGTCTCTCCCTGCATCCATTTCCCCCTCCCTTTCCTCCCTCGGGTCCTCTTTTTGGTACTTTGTTAGTTTTTAAGATTCTGTGGATGTTTTCGTCGAATGTGTTGTGACAAGGTTATCAATTTCTTTCTTTGACAAACAGACACGCAAACATAGGCACACATTAATGAGGTCTCTGTTCGGCTGACTGATATCTTGCCTAGCTGTCATCAGATTAAAGGCCATTACGGGATTAGCTCGACACACACACAGACTCAAACACACACTAATATGTAAGGCTGAGTCATGCAGGTTCTATTCATTCATGCTAACTTTCCAAATATCCGACCAAATACCAGTCAGCGTGACATGACCTCTCTCTTCTCTTTAACTCAGTCATTTCTTCCAGCCCCTGAAAGGACAGTCTGTACGTTTACAATGTCCCAGTGTTTGCAGTCATGGACAGTGTCAATAGTTCTCGCTGTCTCTTCCTTGAATTAAATTATTGTCACAGAAAAACTCCCTGTTCTCTGCTCATATTGTATTGTTTCTGTATGGATGCAGCATGTGGCAATAACACTCTGTAGTCTCATATTTCTCATATGGTAAGTATCCCAGCAGCCACTAGAGGGCACTAGTGTATAATTTCTCAGACCCATATTATCTGAATGGCAGTAATGTGGAGGTTATGGGTTCATGTCAGTCCACATGACAATGTTTATTTATATTCAGGACACACTGTGAGCTCTTATTCAAAGCTAAACACTAAGTAAACAAGTAAATTAGGAAATAAGAACATTTTGCATGCAATTATAGGAGAATATAGCCTGAAGAAAACTTCACAAAGATTACTGTGATTACTGCAAATAAAAGGTTAAGATACAAAGAAAATAAGTACTAATAATAGGACACTATTTCCTTTCAAAAGCAAAAGGACAGCCATCTGTCTTGCATTTAGTCTGCTGGATTCCCAAAACCCTTTTTCTCCTGGGAGTGTGGTAACAGTGCAGTTCAGAAAGGTGAGTGTCATTCAGTCATTTTTAAATGAAAGAAAAAAACAAACAAACAAAAAAAACACTTCTTCTTTTCACTCAGGACACATGGGCCCCACTGATATCACTATCCACCACCACTTTGATGTAGCCAATCCACAGCTAAGCCATTAAGCGGAGAAGTTTAAAAAAACAAAACAAGGACAGAGCATGAAAATGGATCTGTCCTGCTGAGGTTTGTTTATCCATGTATATTGTTCCTAAACCGTTCACAGTTAGCAAAGGAACACTGTATGATGTTTCTGCACATATTTGTATCTCCTTGGTGTGTCTGGTCTCCCAATCATAACCCTGTCTCTCTGTTAAACGTAGCTGTGGGGTGAAGCAGGATATAAGTCCATTTGTGCATTTTTAGGGGCCGACATGAATAAATCATAAAGGGATTCAATAAAAGTTTGAATATGTAAAAGATTTGTTCTTTGACTGGACCTGAACCTGAAGTGATTACCATCAATAACACGATACTAATTTAAAAGTAAAAATAGGAGCATAATCACATGCAGCAGCAGGTAACTAGTTGACTGTGATGCAACAACAATTGATTGTGATGCATCAACAGTTGATTCTGATACAACAGGTGATTTTCATGCAACAAGTTGTAATGCAACAATAGTTGACTTTGATGTAACAGACTTTTCTGTCTGCGATTGATTACAGTGACCTACTGTACATGCATGAAACCTCCTTCATTTTACCTTAATTCAGTGAACCATGCATCTCTACGTTTTATTACAAATGCAAAGTCACTTACTCATCACTGCATTCTTTATGATTTGGTGTGTTGGACGTCACTGACCATTCACAGACAACAGCACCTGTATATTTTTTATCTACAAAGCAATATTGGGTAAACTTCCTGCCTACCTCTGTAACCTTCTGTATGTCAGCTCTGGTAGTTACCTGCTACGCTCCTCCAAGCGGTTGCTTTTTAATGTACCCCAGGTTTTAACAGATCTGGGGAAAACTGCATTCTCCTACTCTGCACCCTGGACGTGGAACAATCTCCAAAAAGATCTAAAATTAGAAACACTTATATCCACTGATGAATTTAAGGGTGTCATAAAGAATGTGGTGACAGTGACGTGTGCTTGTTTTTCTTGAGAGGCCACTATGTTGAAGATTTTTGTTTTATATGTTGTATTTGTTGCATTGTTGTTGACATTTTCGATCTCAATGGGACTTCCTGGATAAATAAAGGTTAAATTAAATAAATAAATAAATAAAAATGAGGTGATTGTGATGCAACAGCAGGTGATGTGATGAAACAACAGGTGATTGTGATGCATCAATAGTTGACTTTGATACAACAGGTGATTTTCATGCAACAAGTGACTGTAATGCAATATAAGTTGACTATGATGTAACATCAGATGATGGTGATGCCACAACAATCCCCTACGATGCAACAACAGGTGACTATAATGAAAAAATGGTTGATTATGATGCAACACAGCTGATTGTGATGCAGAAATTGTTTTTCTCAATGAGACAAGTTATTGTCATGCAACAACAGGTGATCGTGATGCAACAACAGTTAATTGTGATATAATGGTAGGTGACTGCGATGCAAAAACAGGAGATTTTGATGCGACAGGTGACCGTGACGCAACCATGTGTGACTGTGATGCAGCAACAGGTGACTGTAATGCAACCACAGATGATTGTATAACAGGTGATTGAGATTCACAAGAAAATTGCCAAAACTTTTTTTGCCAAAAGTTTTCATATGATAACTTCTGTAACCAAAACCATTGATGACTTGTAGCTGCAGCCTTTGTGTGATAACATAACAGATGATTGCCAGCACCCAGTATGTTGTTGTGACAACTATGCATGAATATGAAAAAATGTGTGACTGTGATCAGACATAAAGGAACAGTGATCACAATGCTGATCCTTGATGTCACATCGGTCGGGGAGCTGAGTGACGTCAGTAGGAAAAATATACAGAGGCCATCTGACAGCACACATGGTCATTTAACATATGGCTACATTTCCAGTGAGCCAGCGCTCATTTAAATAAACACATTTTTAATTTACTATTTCAAACTAGCTTTTATAATTCTGTGACAGTGAACTACAGGAAAGCATCTAATGCTGTAATATTTGAGGAGCCACTCGTTTATGTTTGCAGATGCTGACTTTGTGTGCAAACTCGTCCAGATGTTGTTAATTAAAACTCCAGATATGCATGGCAATTAACAAAAGCCTTTAGTTGATACGTCAGGAAAAAATAAAACCATAAGACTTTGTTCCTTTTATCAGTAGGGATACCTTTAACATATTTGAATCTCATCAGCAGCAGCGCTCATTGTATGCATGCACAAAATAAATAATCGGAAAGTGGTGATTTGTGTTTTGCAGTCAGCATGTCAAACATGCTCCACAGTTTCCACACTAAGCTAAATATGTTTGGCATACTATAATATACCCAGAGTACTGGACAAATACATTCTGACTGATGCTTTTTCTGTGGATGACAGATGGTTCAAGGGGGTGACTGTATGTTCAAAATGTCAAAGACTTTTAACACGGGCCACAACCTCTGTCAAATTTCAAAAGGAACAGCGAGTAATTGGAATATTCTGTTTGTAAGACAATGTTTTAATTGGTACGCCTAGACTGCTCTGTGCAGAACGCATACACCCTGATTTCTGAGGCAGGCATCCGCCAGATTGGTTAAGACACCGGCATGGCTCCATAATTACACTCCTCTATTCAGCAGTACTGCCTGTGCGTCAGCACAAACGTCATATAGAGCTGGGGACAGGACATTGGAGAGAGAGAGAGGAGAGGAGAGGAGAGGAGAGGAGAGGAGAGGAGAGGAGAGGAGAGGACTCCTCACAGCTGGGGTGTGTTGGGGCTGCTGCTGCTCACAGGCAGATGTGCTGTCATTCTGTCTCTCACATACAAGGTGAAAGACTGAGGAGAAGAGTCTCTGTTCTTCAAAGACCATGCAACATAAAAAGGCAGATCAGCTCCTGTGTTATGCATCCAGCAGCAGGAGATCTATAGCAGCGGAGTGACTGGCATGCAGCCGTATAGCTTCCACTCTGAGATGACAGATTATTGATTCAGGTCTGGTTTGGCTGGGAGCCCCATATGATTATGAAAAATGGTCTAATGATTTAATAAGGTGACGCTTGGTCTAGTACACGCCAGCTAAAGACTTGATGATTGGTGATTGCTCCCTCTTTCTCTCCTGGTCTCTCACTCTCTCTTCTGTGACGTCTCAGAAATTACATCCACCTCTCCTCCTGGTGTCTACAGTGGAAGCACCAATAAGCTCAGCTGGCATTAAAATAGACCTGCAGGACAATTATAGGCTGTTTCTTTCCTGTTCCCAAGTACAAGAGTGTGAGTGCAGCTCTTGAGTGACTACCTAGATTCAAAGCAAGCCCTCCTTCAGACAGCTTTGTTTCTCACTGATTAACTGTATACAGGTCTACTTATCAAACACCCAGCATAACAACCAGATGATAATGATGATTATAAGTACAGCGACGGTGATGGTGAGAATGATTATGACAATTAGAGCCTGTAAATTGATGGCTCCTTATATCTCATTTAGGCACATAATCTGAAGACAGCTAGTAGATAAATTAAATCACCTCTTCAGCTGAAACCTTTCCCACCCTCCTCTCTCTCCAGCTCTCTTCCTAGCTGTCAGACAAGGACGCTCACACCTCGTTCACAACTCAAGGCAAGGCCGGTGAAGCCTGTCACAGCCCTGGAACTTTAACCCCTGATGGACCAAATGTTAAAACAGATGCGCAAGGCTGATTATTAACCATGAAGTCAGAGTGCGCCCTGCTGAGGTGCCCTTGAGCAAGAGGCTCACCCTGCTGTGCACCTGACCCTTCCCCCAAGAACACGCAGGGCATGGAGCATCTCCCTAAAGGGGATCAATGAGGTATCACATTATAGCCTACATGGTCTGCTTAGATGCTGAGATCTCCCTGTTGTGCGTTCACCTCTGCGCGGGAGCAGCGGAACAGCTCCCATCCTGACTGACATTTGCTCTGTAGCCTATCCACCCACCAACCCACCCAACCACCACCACCACCACCACCACCAGTCTCTCTGACGAGAATCATCCACACAGAGAACATTGTGTGGAGCAGGCTCCGGTCGGTGCGTGTCAGCTGAGCAGCTGAGAGGAAGAGGGAGGGTGAGACAGAGAGAGAGGGAGAGATCCTCCTTGGCACACACCCGTCAGTGTGGCAGTGTGATTGTGACTGACTGGGCTGACAGACGGGAGATTCTGGAGGAAACACGCAGGACAGGGACGACACACTCTCCGGGTTTCTCCTCTCTGTCATCGTTGCCACGGCAGATGGTTTTCTAGCTGCGCCGCCTGTATCCACCTCAGCATCGGATTTTGCTTCATTTTCTTTTTCCTCCTTGATTGGCTGAAGCGGGGCTGAACCCAGCCAACCTGGGCCGGGCTGTGGGGCTGTTCAGCGAGCCTTATAGCTGAAGTTGGCACCCGAGATGAGCGCCTGGAGACCCGGGAGCGCGGCTCTCTCCTCGCCGGGGAGAGTGTCTGGGTCGTGGCGGTGCTGGTGGTGGTGGTGGTGGGTTGTGTTGATCGGGGTGGCAGTGGGCTCTAGAGACCCGTGGATGTCCGCGGAGGCATGCCCGCCGTCTTGCTCTTGCAGCAGCACCAGGATCTCCTGCGTGGACCCGGAGCGGGGTATCAATGCTTTCCCCGTCCTGCAGAGCGAGGCGGAGATGGAGAACATCACCGACATGTGAGTGTCTCTCAGAAGCATCACAGTTACAGACAGGGATTCAAATCATATTTATCCTGCTTTTATTAGAGTGCCTGTATTTTCCAACACTTTCCAAATAAAGGAATGTCATCCTTTACCCCTCCTCTGCCAGTTGTGTCTGGAGCTGACAGACAGTCCGCAAGGAAACAGCCACAGATTTGATTTTTAATCTTAATCCCATTAACGAATTTAAAGCAAATCCACAGATTTTATAGATGCAATTGAAGCCTAATTAATTTATTCGGCTCTGCTCGGCTCAGACGCGCATCATGTGTAACCTACATTGCATAAGAGACTCATTGCCATCATGGGGCACATCAGTCTTTCAAGAGCAGCGTGGAAACAGCCCATTTAGAAAGAAAGCAGCTGAGGCTGATGATGGACTTTATTCTATTAGACAAAGCCCAGTCTGTGTGCGGGCGCGAGCGTGTGCCCCAGTGCGTGTTTATGTGTGTGCATGTGTGTGTGTGGACCGAGACGCGCACAACAGACACCACTGTCCAAATATTAGTACAGACACTTCCCAAGATGGCTTATATGAGGGTATTTAAATGAACCACAGAAGCGCAGAAAAATCGATTTTCAACAGAAAAAAGCAGCATTTTTCCAGCCAGAGTCAACATGTGAAGACTCCCTCTCCAGGAGGATGGCTGGTTATTCATCACCAAATCTGTGCGCATCTCTGAAATGTAGGCTACTGTACCCCCATTTTCATAAAACGTCATGTGGCCTAGAAATAAACTGTGACACGTCTGAGCGTTTTATATCTGAGAGCAATTAAAAAAGAGGGAGATTTTAATATTGAATTGAATTGCTGCAATATCTTTCTTGGCAAAGATAAACGGCCTTGTTGATAATGACTTGTCAGAGATGAACTTGGGAGAAGCCTTGGACGCGGTTTAAATGAGCCAGCAGTCTGGTGAAAAGCATTCACTGAGTGCCTGGCTAATGTAAACAGACAAATTACTACTGATGACCGTGCGACGGCTAATTCCAAAAACGACCTTGCCAAAATGTAAAAAACACAACCGGAGAGATAGGTTAACGTGTCCCCTGTCAGTGTTAATTGGTCAGACATCCTGTTTTTATGACACCTGCAAACACAATTTGACAGAGTATAATGGGACTTTCAATGTCAGTGTGGAATCCTAAATGGGCACAAGAGCAGTTTGTGTTCATGTGTCATCTCTGCCTTATGTATGGATGTGTTCAGTGTAAAATCTCAGCCAAATAAATTATATTTTGTCCCCATCTGCTTTGAGAATATCTTCCAGTGCTCTAACTTGAGGAGGTGGGTGCACTAAATGACTGACAGGTAACCTCATATTGATAAAGTGGGGGATTTTTGGGAGTGTTGGCTCTTTAAAAAATACTAACACGTGGAATACAACACAGAAAATTGTTTTATAGGTAATGTAGCCTTTAATAAAAATGAAAAGACAACATTTAAACTATAAAAAAATATCTACTTTTTATTTACAATGCTGACATTATTGCCCACAGGCAATCATAGTAGATGTGGGTAGTAACTCCTCCTTGCACACGGAGAGTCATGCAGTGTAATGTAAATCAAACTTGATGACAAACAGCTTTATAATAACAATATGTGCATGCTCTTATTATGTGGTAGTGGCACTGCCATTATTATTATCATTGTTGAGCAGTTTTACTTGAAGTGGAGCACAGTCAGCTTTATAGGTGATTTACACACAGGTGTAGACATTTGGGCGAGGACAATATTTACAACATGTGCATTTGTCTACCCTAAAAAACACATTAGAGTAGCAGAGGACTTTTATTTTGATGCAGGGGGCGCCCACTAGCTCACCTGGTAGAGCAGGAGCCCCATGCACAAAGGCTGTGTCCTTGCCACAGCGGCTGTGAGTTCAATTCCGATAAATGTCTCTTTGCTGCATGTCATTCCCCTTCTTTCACTCCCCCCTTTCATGCTATATAGCTGCCCTGTCAAATAAAGGCAATAAAGCCATCAAAAGTATCTTAAAAAATACATAAATTGATGCAGGAAAGGCACAAATAGGTGCATAAAAATTCACTGGAATACAGGAAGTGTTTGATGCTTCCATTTTTGAACAGACAAGCCCCTGTTTGATTCTGCTGATGATGAATGCCGGTGAATTATTGCAGCTTACAAATTAGATTTTTACCCTAAAAAATTTGGTCATAATTGAATTTTAGTTATTGTCAGGCAATTTGATGCTTTAGTGAACGTAATCGTATGAAACGGTGTGTTGCAAATGCAGCTTTTCAAAGAATGGGTTTCATTTATCGGTGTGTAAACGCCTGTCAATCTGGGTCAGCTTCTGTAATTACCGAAAGGCACATATCAAACATTATTACTCTTTTCTTCTACTGTATTTTGTTCAGGCTTTATTTGATCGTGATGGCAGAGAGCTGACAGGAAATTAGGGGAGAGAGGAGAGGTGATATGCAACAAAAGCCCTCTGCCTGCCAGACTCAAAGCAGGGATGTTGCAATTATTGCTATTGTGTGGTGTGGCACTGCATCTCAGACCCCCCACAGGCTACCAGGACGCCTCTATGAAATATTTTTGAGGGTTAGATGGTAAATGGACCTGCACTTGTATAGCTCCTTTAGAGTTTTCCGATCACTCTCAGCGATCTTACTCTACAGAGTCACATTCACCCATTCACACACACATTTACACACCAGGCTACCATGCAAGGTGCGACCTGCTACTCCATTTAGGAACATTCACATGCACTTACACAACCACTGGGAGAAATTTGGGGGTCAGTATCTTGCCCAAGGACACTTCCACATGTAAGCCAGTGATCAAACCACCGATCTTCCAATTATCTTTGGATCCACTCTACCTCCTGAACCACAGCCACCCTGTTGTTGTCTTTTCAATCCTGCCTGATAAATCTTTTGACGACTTTTGAGACTTGAGAGAAGTCAAATACAGCGTACCATGTTGTATTTGATATTTAGAGCAATGTAATGATCAATCAACAGATCTAATTAGAGATGTTTTTTTTGTTCCCAGTCGAACACTGTGTCCATAGATACCACACTTAAAGGTTTTTTTAACTTGCGTGTTTTATTGACTAGTTGGCACCTGATCAGATGTAGCACTCCTAATCTTGTTGTATATTCTTTGTACAATGACTCTGTTATTGCTCCCACCCCCTGGAACTCCCTAAATGCATCAGAGACCCCCCCTCACTCTCCACCTTTAAGAAATCCCTCAAACCCCACCTCCTCAAATTTGCCTACGACCTCTAAAAAACTGTCTTCTTCCTCTCCCTCTCTGCATTGTTTCCCGTTTTATAGATTATTTCAGTTTTGTTGTTCTTGCTCTCTGTAAAGCGTCTTTGAGTATCCAGAAAAGCACTTTATAAATCCAATGTATTATTATTAATAAAGGCTTTCTATTCTGTTTTATTCTATTCTTTAATAACCTTGTGATTTCGCCAAACAATACGTGAACAATAAGTCCGAGGGGTTTCTTTCTGCTGTGCCTGTTACAGCATGTTCCACCTGTAGGTGAGATTGTTCTGGTTTTGTGTATCTCTAAAACCACTAGCTTCCCAACCCCCACCTCCATGTGCCATTTATCAGCTGCATTCCTTCAGGAGTTCATTTTTAAATCTTGAACCCTAATTATATGTGCTTATTATGTCCCTTTGTCTTGTTGAAATGCTTCTGTTTATGCTTCCTTCCGTTAACAAATGAGCCTCCTGACACACTCACTTATATCCCCTGACAGCTACATCGCCAACCAGAGCAGCTTCTCCTCCATCAACGACAAAGACCTGCACTACTACAAGAATCTCAGGAACCTGTAAGTTTTTATCGCTTATATCACCAAGGCAAACACTTAGTCCCAGGGCAAACATTCAGAGTTAGTGTCAATACATAAATTTGCGAATAAATGATAACACAGTGTTTTTATGTTTGATATTTTTATGTTCTGTGGCTGTTAACTACATCACATATTGTGTTAAAGAAACAGTTCACCCTAACATCAAAAATGTGGATTTTCCCTCTAACATGTGGTGCTGTTTATTAGTCTAGATTGTTTTGGTGTGAGCTGCAGAGTGTTGGAGACGTGTCGTAGAGATGTCTGCCTTCTCTCAAAAATAATGGAACTTGATGGCACTCAGGTTGTGGCGCTCAAAGCACCAAAAAATACATGTGAAAAACTCAATAGCAATGTCTCTTTCCAGAAATCACGACCTGTTTTCTCAAGATAATCCACAAGGGGTGTTGCTGTGAGCAGTTTCATGTAGGAACTATTGTCTTTCTACTGTAAAACACCCGCCAACCAAATCAGCGTGCAGAAGGAAGTGTGCATCTACTCATCGGTAAAAGGCTCGTGCTCGTGACAGCACAAGATGTGAACATTAATGGTGTCCTCCTTGGCTGAGCTGTAACGTTAGCTAGCTCAGTCGTGCTAGGTGAGCTAGCAGTAGATGCACTCTTCCTTCTGTGCAGTGAAACAGTTGGCAGTTGATAGAAAGAAAATAGTTCCTACATGTATATTTATATATTTATTTTTTGGCAATTTGAGCCAAATTCCATCCAGTTCCACTTTCTCAAGAAGGCAGACATCTCTACGGCTGATATCTTAAACACTTGGCAACTCACACCAAAACAGTCTAGATTGATAAATAGCACTACAGGTAAGAGGAAAAATATGTATTGTTGAAATAGTCCTGTTGTACGCAATCTTACGGCTCAAATATAAGCAGCATTTTACAGCAGAGAGAAGAATAATTTTGCTACATTTTAATGACATTTCAACAGTATTTCTATACATGTTTTGCTTGTTAAAATATGAGAAATATTGATTTGTTTTGCCTTTATTCATAATTCTCCTTCTCCAATATATTATCCTGTTGCTTTAATAACCCTGCTGTGTTCATCGCAGGGTGTTCTGCAGTTACTGTGTTTTGTTATGCATCTGTGTCTCATTTTATTTCCTCTAAGAATTGTCTACCGAGCAGCACTTTCTTACAACATAATAATCTGTTAAGTGGACACTACCTAATTTCCCAGCTAATATCCCCTTTGGTAGACAGATTACTACAAAGCACGCCGAACACCGCAAGTGTATATGCTCTTAATTGTGGTCAGACCCAGTGGGAACGAAACAAGTGCTGTGTCTGAGCCACGATCATATAGATAACTGTCCCACATGTCTGACACACAATTAAACACTTTTTTGATACTAATATGATAATGCTGCTTCACAGTTCAGGTATTTTTACAGTAATCGTTAAGCATCGTGTTTTATAAATAGTGAAGGGGGAATCTGTGCTCAGTCATGTCAGATGAGATGAATCAGTCACAGAACATCTGTTAGACCAACTTTTCATATCAGATAATGATGTCTTACAGCCTCACCTCAGCCGATGATGGGCACACACTCTCTGCACCTGGTTTTAATAGTGCTGAGTAATGCACAGTATGCAGGAATATTAAAGGCATCAGACTCTTAAAACTGTTACATAAAGAGTCTTTTTATTGAGACATCTGTTAAATTCACAAATCTGCATGCGATGGCATTGCACCGTGGCAGACTTGTGAAAAAGCCAGAACAATGGCTCGCTAGAAAGATCTTTAATTAGGGAATTTTGCATTGACACCTCTGGATTAGAGAGCTGAAATCTTTATTTTGAATGATCGATTGAATTTTTACTTTTTACAGTGAAGTATTCATGATGCTTAGCACAGATTATTCCTGATGCACAAGCAAAGGTGGTCTGTTGATGTTTGTACAACCTAAATTTAGCATAACAGTTACGTTAGAGGTACACGTGGAGGGGGGGACTGGCCATCTGGCATACTGGGCACTTTCCTGGTGGGCCAATGTCCCTTCTTTTGTTGTTGTTGTTGTCTGACCGGCCCATAAAACAGCTAGATCAGCTCGTTATTTTTTTTCCTTACTTGGCACTAAGATGGCCCAATAACATCTTCAAACTCCCCTATGGCTCAGTGTCTTAAAGGGACAGTTTAGTTTTTTAAGATGAGGTTGTATGGGTTACTATATCCCTAGAAAGTATATTAAATACAGTAAATGTCAGTCTGTACACCCCAGTTTGGAGAGGCAGGCTAGAGTCCAGCATGGAAGCTAAGCAACATACTGCTGCGGAGCAGTCTGCAGCAACACAAAGTATTTTAGCCATCTAAAAAAAGTCCCATTTAAAAAAAATAAAAAAAAATCAATCTCTACATTGAGAGTATTTTCACTTCTTTACCTTAATGTCAGACAGTGATTTCCACCGTGAAAATGAAGCCATTGCACAATCTCTTCAAAGCCAAACTCCACTGAGAAAAACAGTGATTTAACACCGCTGAACGTTACCCCCTGGTCAACTCCTGCCTTGAACAGTTACTTTGTTTGTGTTATTGTGTGACTTTGGGGGTTGAAAGGATCAGTTCCGGTTAACCAAAGTCACACAATACTACAAACTAAGTAACTGATCGAAGCAGCAGTAGACCAGCAGCTCCTGTGTTCAGCATGCTAAAATTGCCATTTTTCTCAATGGAGTCTGGTGGCTTTGATAAAAGCATAGATGGGGAACTTAAGCCATAATTAGTTTTCCTGTCACAACATGCTGCCTGACATCAAGGTAAAGTGGTGAAAAAACCCTTAATATAGTATACACTTAAACTGATATTGACTATTTTAGGTGGCTAAAATATGTTTTGTTGCTGATCCTCATCCACAGCAGTACATTGCTTAGCTTCTGTGTCGGACTCCCATCTGCTTCCCCAAACAAAGGTCATGCTGACGTAAATCTACTGTATGTAATATACAGACTATGGATGAGTGTCCCATATAGCCCCACTTCAAAAAAATCAAGACTATCCCTTTGATTAAACAGCGCATTTGCCAAATTCATAGGACAAAACAACTCAGGCCAAAAAAAAAATATTTTGACCCAGACTTTTAGCGACCTGCTGCTCAGAGTAAAGTCAGTCATTGGCTCTCCAGGTAGCAGCACACTTGCTGTGTCTCTCCTTTTCTTCTCTCTCCGTGCTCAACCCGTTCTTATTTCCAGGTTGTAAAATACTGACGCTCTGTCATGCCCTTCAGCATTTCATAGCAATGCACAGGGCACCCTTTAGCATATGTACGTGATGCACAGCTAAAACACATTGTAACAAGTGGTTAATGCTGTGAAACGGTCACGGTTATGTTAAACTACTTTTTTAGATTTAGAAACAAGATCATGTTTTGGAATTTGTACGTTTGTTATGTAACATGACATAAATACATTATGTGAGTGTCGTTAGTGCATGATGAACATGGATAAATTTTGTCACATTGTGTTAAAACAACACTGACTTTTGTTTTCACACCCAACGCAAACAAAAGTTAGTCAGTCTGAATGTGTGATCATCTTGTAACATAGCAGGAAATCAAAATAAATGCAGCTCTGTGTGTGCAAGGGGTGTCATGGTCAGCGTCGAGTGTCACAGTTTCCACCATCAACTGATGGCACAAACTGGTACATAAAATTGTATCAGAATGCAGGGACATGTTTGACACTCAAACTTTCAAAGGGGACAATCTCCAGACCCCTGCTTAATATGCTGAAAAACACCCACACCCCTGTACAATATATAACTCACATTTGTGTTAACCTACATTTTTACAAATCGATGGTGATGGGTTCAGTCTGGACCAAAATGCCAGGGCCAATTTTTTGTTCTGGTCCACCCCTGAGGGTACATTACCATTAACTAAAGAAACACGCATGTTTATCGATCTCTCTAAAGAGAAAATACTTTGTTTGTCACGTGAGATATGTTAATGTCTGACAAATATTACCACTGCAACAGTATTTTGGTGTCTTACAATCACAATTATATACAGAGGATGTATATTATCTTCGGATTGATGTTGGCATCATTTGTTTGAACATCATCTTAACGGTAAACCACATAAGCTGATAATTGTTTTCTTTCGATGTGAACAAAAACCTGGCTGTATCTCTTTCACAGTTCTAACCACACACCATCGACCTACACAGATATAATGATGCTAATATCTCACAATGTGGGTATTCAGATGCTTCATGTAGGATTAGTGATATTTTGGGTGCCAGGTGGTGATTTTCTGGTGTGTATCCTCATCTATCATGACCTATTGGAAACTGCAACCAAATGTATTTTCTCTTTATGGAGCTGTTTAGGAACCTGAATTCAAGTTTTTGCTGCTGCTGATGCTGCAGTTGCTGTTGACAATTTATACTAGTTTTGTTCATGACGACTACGACAATGACACTGCTGTTTTTGTTTTTGTGTCAGAACGGTGACCAACAGCAGGCTAACATACGTATCGAAGCTGGCCTTTCAAAACAACCTCAAGCTACAGTACCTGTAAGTTCATGCTTTCAAATCCCTGCTTTCTACTGACATGGCTGCTACAGTGCAGATTTATTTATCACCTTTGGCGAGTAATTTGACAAAACTGTTACAAAAATATTATCTGCTAAAATGAATAGCTATGTTTTGATAATTTATTGTATTATTTACTGCTAAAACTGATGAACAGGAAATGTTTACCGTGACGTAAAGAAGATTTATTTGTAACATTACCAAGAAAAAAACCAGAAAATTAAAAAAAAAAATCCTGTGACCGTGTGAAGTTCGGACTGAACAGAATTTATGAATAATCAACCTAATAAATTTTAAAATGTAGCACTTACTTTTAATGGTAGAAATAATTCAGGTTTACTGGTGCATGTAAAAATGTGCCGCAAGTGTCTGTAACACCGACCCAATATCATGTTGAGATTTACAAATGCAATCTCACTCTCTGATGTTCGACTTAATTTCCAGGAATCTGAAAGATAACAACCTGTCATCGCTGTCCTGGAGGATATTCAAACACCTCAACATCTCTTATCTGTGAGTTCACTGCAGCCTCCTCTATCAGTCTGTCCATCTCCGTGTCTGTCTGTCTGTCTGTCTGTTCCTGGCTCTCTCTCTCTGGTGTACCTCCCAGTTATCACCACAGTCTGTAGATAAACATATTCCTATAGCAGCTGTGATGTCACATATAGATTTCTGATGTGACGTTTTGCAGTTTGGCGCTGGGTTTACTGCTGCCTGCAATCTTGATTTCCTAGAGCAAGAACATTATTATTATTTTAATTCAGATTCAGGCAACAGAGTGGAGACTCAGATTAGCTGAAGTCGGCAAGCAGCATTAAGGGTGTGATTAATGTGTGATTGGCACCTGTTAATGATGGCTAGCATGCTCCCCCTAAACAGACCCTTTATTTAGACTCCCATTATTAATTAATATTTCTTGTAATAAAGTAGTTATTTTCATATTGCTCTGAGAGATACTGAGTAACTAATATTATGTGGAAAGATGTATATACTATAAATTAAAGCAATTTAAAATAAAGCGAGAAATTGGCCATTTGTACCAATAGTTTAATAAAATTCAATAGATTATTTTTTCATTCACAGTGTCAGACCAAGGCCCAGTGAATTAAGAACATTGGACTCAAAACCAGCCACAACTCAGCCCTGAGCAGAGTGACCGTCTGCTATTGACCAATCAACAGACTGCAGTGTTCACAGCTCCACCTTTTAGTACCAGATCTGTGTGCTAGGTACCCCAACAGAGGGGGGACCATAAATGGGGACGGTACAAAACAGTTCTATTGGTACCATCCACAACTTTTAACAGTGGAAACTAGGAATGTAACAGTACACAAAAATCTCGGTTCGGTACGTACCTCGGTACACAAGTCACGGTTCGTTTTTTTTTCGGTACAGTAATGAAAAAAATAGACAACTATTAAATATCTTTTACTTATTGGTAACCTTATTAAAACATAACACCACAGCAGTTAACTCTTTTTACACAATTTTTGAATGAAACAAATATATATAAAATCCTGCTTTTTCACATTGTTTGAATGAAAATAGAAATATAAAAGTGAAAAATAAAATCCTGCTGTTTTTTTAACACATTTTTTTGAATGAAAAATATAAATATACATTTCTGCTTTAACAGTTTTACTCAATTAAAATAAAAAGTATAGTGCAGCTGGTCAGCTTTAAAGCCTGCTCAGATTCAGTTTTACTAGGAACTTACTAAACTTTCCCACTTTGTTAAAGTGCAGTAAACAAAACATGCTTATATCTAAAGTGCAGCTTAAACAATTTTACTCAACTCCAATGGCGTTGATTATTTCTTTAGCGCGATGGTCAGGGAAACGCTCTTTCTTTTTAAACGACGACGATATCGTAGTTTGCACCAGATTGCTTTTTCTAGGCATGCCGGTTAACGTTCAAACTCGGGTGGTGTCGCTGATGCGTTAGCATGTTAGACGTGTTTCCAAGTACATACCCGACCGCTGTTCTGCAGTGTCGGCACGCTGCTTTTGTCTTGTCAACTTGTTTATTTCCATCTTCGTATTTTACCTGAAACCAAAGTGTTCCCAAACGGAGGACTTAAAGTTTGCGGGTGGGTCTTCAGGTTCGTCAGGCTCACTTGCCATGTTGTCAAAATGCGAGAATGCGCTGCACAAAGTGAAAGCGGAGATTTACGGGACTCGGTCCATCACTCAATTATGTCCGTCGGGGAACTAGATATTTTAAATGGTTTGGCTCGCAAAAACGGAATTAAAATAAAACAAAATAAAATAAAATAATATCCTGCGCCCAATAATTTGGTACAGGGTCGTGCCGAACCGAAAGTCGCGTACCGAATGGTTCGACACAAATACATGTACCGTTACGGCCCTAGTGGAAACAGAAAAACAGTGTACAGAACTGACCTGAATCATACTGCTTGGTGGAAACGGGGCTAAAATTAACCTAAAAAATCCAATAAAGTTACTATTTTACAGAGATTATGTCCTGGACCATTTCTTGGCCAAGAGTAGTCACTTTCTGGAGTCTCAGCTGGCTACCTCACAACCTCACAGTGGCAACAAATTCCAGACAGTTACTAGCTACTGCAGACCAGTCTATGAGCTCATGTTTTATTCAGACAGACTTCCAGCTGGCCCAAGATGAGTTAGACCAGTCACAACTGTTCAATCCATTCAATATGGCCTTTGTGCCATACACAGATTACACGCATAAACCTGGCTTAGTAAAGAGGAGCCCTGTTGGCAAATTTGCATTTCCTTGGATAACAAAGGCATGACCTGCCCTACTCTGACTTACTCTGCCATTCTTACCCCAACCCTAACCAATCTCACTCCTCTTGCGTAAACCCAACAAACCCAACCAACCCAACCAACAAAGGCAATGAATACCAGCCAATCTCAGAAACAGTTGGGTGCGTCGATTTCCTAGGAAACGCAAAGTCATGAGCCGTTAAGGCATTGTCAGAAAAAAACAAAATGGGATCAGCAGATGTGGAACTTCCTGTTGAAGAACTACATTCAAGTTCCAATGGCAAAATGGCAGCACTTGTTCACAGACGCATTAATACTACACCATCACAGCTCATCTCTGCACGCTGTAGTCTGTTTACAATCGTCTGTCTCTTAGCGTGTCATTGCTCTGATATCCAGAGACATTTTAGTGTATGGACGTTAATACCCTTCTTTGGAAATCGGGAAATAAACTGAAAGGGTACCAGACCAGCTTGCATTTGCGTATTGGTTTGGCGAAGTCAGGCTAACTCCAGGTCAATAAGTCCAGCACATAACAACACAACAACTTGTTGTTTTTATACTTTGGTCTTTGCACGGATAATACAAACAAGATATGATGTGTTATTAGTGGGCTTTAGAGGTCCTGGTGTGTGTCCTTGTGTTGGTGCTGTGATTGGCAAGTAGTAGACGTGGAGGTCGGAGGCGTTAGAGCAAAGAGGTCATGGTCAAGACTAGTACTGGCAAATCACAGCCCAGTAGGGATCCATACAGTAGGATCCAGAATTATGCAGTGCTGATATGTGTATTTTGTCACCCTTCACCAGAGCCAACTGATTCCATCTCTAATCTTTATGCAAAGCTAAGCTAACATGCTGCTGGCAGTAACATTCTTATTTAACAGACATGAATTGTATCAATCTAAATCCTCTAACTCTCAGGAAGAAACCAAACAAGCATATTTCACAAAATGTTGAATGGTGTCTTGAAGGCACTTTCACAATAGCTCAATTCAATTCAGCTATTGCTTTGTCCGTTCAAATTTAAAGTTACTATCTAGCTCTACTACTCACAGTTCTTGACAGTTCTTGACTTTGTGTGTGTGCGTGTAGGATCCTGACAGGGAACCCTCTGCACTGCTCCTGTGAGAACATGTGGATCAAGCTGTGGTTAGGAGAGGAGGCAGACACTCAGGAGCTGCGCTGCATCGAGGATGGAGGAGCACGCAAGCTGCTGTCCAGACTGACACTGCCTAACTGTGGTGAGGACACACACACACACACACACACACACACACACACAAACACACAGGGTAACAAGCTGGAAAAGATATTCACAAGCTGAAGCAGATGCAAAGTGTTGAAACACCTGGAGGAAAACAGTAATCCTAACAGTTTCCTCTACAAAGGTTTTCTGTAATCTTTGTTTTGACTGTGAGCTCTCATATGTGTTGCATGCGACACATATGATTTTATGTAAGCGTGCATGTGTGTGTGTTTGCATAAATGTGTAAGTGCGAGACATAACTTGTTATTGCAAGACAAGTGTGCTAAGTGTTTTGTCTGTTCTCTCGGGAGGTGTGCAGGATGAACAACTGGAGAAGGTGAAGTTCGCTGTTAAAACCTCTGAGAATAACAGTACATAGAATAAAACTCATGCAAGCTACAACCACTGCAGCAATCTGCACTATAAACCAGACTGTGTGTGTGTGACAGGCTGGTGTGTGTGTGTGCACACACTGTATTTCACTTAGGCAGGACTCTGCTTAGCCTGTACATTGTAATTCCTCTTGACACCGTGCAGTGCGGAAAGCTACAATGTCTTACACTTGACCAAGCAGACAAATGACCAAATGAATACATGCATGAACACTCAGCTTTTATAGAGGACATAAAATGCAGTTTTCTTCTCTGCAGGGTGTCATTAGAAGGCCACCAACTCTAAACAAGCTGACGCTATCTCTGCGCTTTCTCATATGATGCATAGATTATCTGCCAGATGGAGGACGGAGAAATGTGACCTACAGAGTGGTGTTTGTGTGTGAGAGGTTATGTCATCTTATAGACTGGTTACAGTCAACCGAGACATTTGCTCGCAGGTGTAGAAAGGTCACTGTGCAGGACATTATAGAAGCAGAGAGACATCACACCAAGAGGGACCGTCTGTGTGGATCAACACACAGATGACATCATTGAGTTTCAAAAGATGCTGAGTGGGGGAAATTCCCCACATGCATCACAATAAAATAAAGTGTTATCAAGACCATCTGCACTATGTCCTATGGCACCGGTGACCTGCTGTCACGCAGCAGATTTCATTTCCTTTTTCTCTGAATCATCATGTTTTGGTCGTCGAGGAAGAAATTCTTTCTGGAGTTATGGAAAGCTGCACTCCGCTGCAGCGGCAATAATCGCAGTTTTATGACCAATAAAAGGCATTTTCCACAAATTTAATTGTGAAAACTTAATGAGAATTTTTTGCATCTTTGTTTAAGTTGCAAAGGAACAATATTTAGTTTCCCCATAAGGAATAATGTGTCTACAAACCAGCGCAACACAAGTGTGATGTCAAGCTAACCAGCAAGCTTGCTTTCACTCCCAGACAAACTTCCACAGACCACAAACCTTTTATGTACTTGCATACGGGAGCGTTTATCAAACTTAAATATATAAATGTCAGCAGCTAATTGAGGCTTTATTCTTTCCTTCTTCGTAGTTGTTCATAAATGTCTCTAGTTTGGATTCTGTTCTTTTCATAAACAGGGTGAGATTACAGGCTGACCTGCCTGTTCACACTCAGCCTGGATTTGTTGCTTTTTATTAGCACAAATCTGGCTAAAAGTGACATTTGGTAATGATTTAGAGCTTGAGCTTGACCCAGGCGAACAAATGAAACACAGACAGTCCCAGCCTTTGGGGCAATGAGTACAGTCAGATCCAGTTTGTTTTTGTAAAGTGAGAAGATAAAGGGATCTTCATGTCTGATTTGAAATTATAAAACACACAATAACAGCAGTCAGAAAAGCTTTATAGGCCTCTATTGAAACATAATCAAATTTGCTCTCCAATCAGCCAGAACATGAATCTAAAAGTATTTTTGCCATCTGGTCCAAAATAGCTCAGGGCAGTCGGGACACAAACAATAAGTTAGCATGCAGGAAGCTAACAATGTCATTGATAACTCCTATTGATCCGTCCCCTCTGCCTCCCTTCCATTAGCGGAGGTTATTTTTGGCATTAGCACAGTTACAGCAGGGCCCCTGGAGAGGTAGGCAGGGGACCCCCTGGCAGTGTGACATATGAGGAGGAGGACATGGTGGAGCAGGGGTGCCAAATAATGCCCCAGGGCTAACAGTGATACACCAAAAGTCCAAAATGCTGGCCTTTTGTGCTCTCTGTCATTTTCTCTCTCGCTATCTTTTGCCTCCCCCTCTCTCAGTCTGTCTCTCCTCCTCTTTATTACTCATTTTCCATCTCTGTGTCTGCTCGCATGCACGACTGTCTGTTCTTCTGTCCGTCTGAGCATTTCTGAGTGACATATGAGGAAGGCACAAAGCAGAGGAAGTGCCCAACGATGCCCTCAGGCTGACACTGATCTCTCAGGCCACCCGCATATGTCTCTTGGTCTGTTTCTCTCTGTGGACTGTTTACTGCTGGAGCGCCTCTCGAAAAGGCTGGCAAACACAGACTGCTCCCACTGCTGACCTATACTAAACTTCACTTTAAAAGAAAGGCTTCTCTGATGTTACTGCAGTCCTATGCAAGGTGGACTGTGTCACTAAGCAAAAATGTTGCGTCTTAAACAGCTGAAGGTTTTAAAGCTCTCAGTTATTTGTTAATAGAATGATTAAAACAATAAAAGACCCCATAAACTCCCCACTCTTTAATTCCCTTTAATAAGTCTTTCTTAAGTTGTGAGATCACTTTAGGGTAATGCTCGTTAATGTGAAAATTAAGACATTGAAGCTTTTTTTACCATCACACTCGTGGCTAAAATCTGCTTTTCGCTAAGCGATCCAAATGTTAATAATTGAAACCAGCTGTCCCGAGCAAAGGTGCTTTTTCCCCATGTGCCGTGGAGCTGACAGCAGATGGATTACCAGACCTCTGCTGGTCACATCACAGCGCCGGTGCCCCTCTGTCTTCATCAGTCTGTTTGTCTGTCTGTCAATTTGTTTGGCTGGAGTGACTGTCTATCAGGTTTTATTACCCTTTGTCATCCCACTTTCTGTCTTTCTATTGATTATTTTTCAAGCATTATTTCCTCTTCTCTTTTTATCCCTTCGCTAACTTCCGTCTCCTCGGCTCATTGTACGTCTGAACGGACTGTACAGCAGTAATACTCAACTCACCCGCTGACTGTTTTCCAAATCCATAATAAAAATGAATTGATTTACTCTCTGATTTTTTTGTACTTTGAATGTCAATAAGGTGCCAGAGTGCATGAAAATGTAGGGTTGTACAGATTTGTTTGCTGCACTTCGGTATCGACCGTCATTTGCATTGTTGACTGCCATCAGCCTATCAGCAAATTAGATGACATTACCAATAGCATGTTTGGGAAAAACATCTTTCAGGGGACGCCGTTAGGAGGAAGGGATGCAGTAAACTAATTATCAACAGGTCAGGGGATGCACCCTATTGTTTCCCCGATAATGCTACATTGTGACCAACAAATCTGTGTCGGGAGGAGAGCTAGTTAACGTTAGCTGTTAGCAGTTGGTAACGGGAAATAACCGCTTGCATTATGATGCGTTCAAGCTCTCTTTGGTAAAAATGAGTATTAACCGAAGGTAAATTATTATGTTATATTGATGTGGTCAAATCTTGTAAAATGTAGTTTTTGGTGAGAAATTTTGTTGATGTTTTAACAGCAATCTAAAATAGATATTAGAGAGGGAATCATGATATATTATATAGAGGAAAAAGGTTGATGTTTTTCATGTTAAAGATGATATTAAAGGGTGTTTCATAATTTTGTATGATTGAATTTGTGCTGATTCAAAGATAATCAAGAGCTAAATGACTAAAACAGTTCAGTTATTTTTTTCATAATGAAGATTTCTTTATTTCCCTGGCACAAAAGGGGGAATAAATGATAACAAAAACAAAACAAACATCAAGAAAAGTATCCGTATCGACCATTGGCCATCAGCCATGGTCCATTGGCCAGAAAGGGATTTCAAACATCAGCCAAGAATTTCACACTTGGTGCATCCCTATAAAAAAAGCATCAAAAAAGAGCTTCTTAATCAAAACAAAAGTGCCAGTGGAGGATCCTTGGATGCCCCCAATGACAGAGGACCAGGTTAAGCCCCTAATGTCCTCACATGTTTGTTAACTGGCCCCTGTCTTCCTGTCATTTTGCAAAAGTGGCCCCAGAGCAAAGTAAGCTGAGTGTCCCCCCTGTACAGTATAACCACTGTATATACTTAAATATCTCGCTGTGTGTCAAATTCCTTCTGTCTCTCTGCTCCTTTTTGTGTGGTGTGCACTTACAGTTGCATATGTGAAACACAAATGCAGCACGTAGGCACAGACTCGAGCAGTAAATGGCAGCACAGGCCGACCAAAAAGGCCAGGTGTCTCCTGTGTCCGTGGGCAGAAGATGCTATTTACATGTTCGAATTTCCTATAGGGAGACCACTTATTTGTTAGGTAATAAGGAATTTAACAAACAAGACAAAAAGCTGTAAAAGTAAACTTAAAATGAGCACAGAAGTTAGAATTCACGAGAAGAACAGCACAGTGCAGACTGACACAGATTAGAATCATGTCTTGCAGCAATGATGTTTTATGAGGTCTTTTAAAAGGTAATGGACACGGCGTTTAGTGCTGCATTCGGCCTCTCTGCAGTCCTTTTCAGGCCATACTGCTGCCATTTAACAGTGAGGTATTGCAAACAGACAGATTCAAGAGGGTTTGAAACAGACAACAGCTTCAAAAACAGAAGAGTACAGCTGGTCAAAACAATTCAGTAAATCACCTTTATGGGAACAGAATCGCTAAGAATTTGAAATACTGAGGGAAAATTGTGTAAAGGTAGAATACTGTGCAGTTTTGTTTATTTTTAAAATGTATCAGCGGTCCTTCGTATGACAAGAATGATGCATAGCTGAACCAGCTCAGTATCATGAGGAATTATGTCCATGTTAGACGGGTCCTCGCCTCACGATTTACGTTCAATGCAAATGCAGAAAGCAGTATGTCCTTTATGTAGAGAGGTGGAGGGAACTGTAAATGTGGAGGTCGAGCTGATGGA